TTGTAAAGACAAGCCAGAAGAAAAGACTAAACATCAACTGTAAGAAAATAGAATCTGTGGTTATCAACAAGAGAAACAGTGCAACATTCAAATTACAAATTGGAAATACCAAAATTAAACAAGTACAAAAATTTAAATATATAGGAAGTTTTTTTAACAGAGGATTGAAAATATGATACAAAATCTGAAGGTGCATTGAGATAATGAAAGATGCCTTCCAAAAGATAAGCAAAGCATTAAAAACTGGGAAAATTCATTGGAAACAAAGAAAAGAGAATGGAATTGTTATGTAATATTGATCCTTCTCTATGACAGTGAATGCTGGACATTCTCCTTGCAGATGAAGAAGAAACTTGAAGCAAAAGATATGTGATTCTACAGAAGGATCTTGAAAATAACATGGACTGAACATGTGAGCAATGGCAGAAAATGGAAACAAACAGAAAACTTATACAAAGCATCAGAAAGAAGTTGAAATTTCTAGGGTACATAATGAGGAAAGAGGGCTTGTAAAATTTGATACTCACAGGACATATTGAAGGCAAGCATTACAGAGCAAAGCTAAGCATAACCTAACAAATGAGTTTGTGGAAATGATTGGCAGAATAGGGCTTAGGAGATATAGCAAAAAGAGAAACTTTACTAAGGGGTACAAAGGACAGTAAGTTGTGGAGAGCTATGGTCGGCTATGTCCTTTCAGGATATGGCACATAGAAGATTCTCCCTAGAACTTCCTCATTTGTTGAATGCTCTGTTCATGCTATTCTGAACATTCATTGGTTGAACCACAATAGTTACTTGAAGTCTTCTCACTGATGATAAAATAACCCCAGCTTTTACTGTCACACAAAAGAATAAACATTACATGGTAGTTTGTCACTACTTTCTTCAATTCTGATGTTATTTTTTGATCCCTGTATTCTTTAACTGCTTTCTGAAAAGTCTCTTTTGCTTTGAATTTCTATGTCACACTTTTTGTTGCTAATCCACTGCCTAGATAATTATATTTTTGCATTTGTTTAATTTTGATATCCCCAATGTGTAACTCACATCTTGAGATGCCCGTTTTGCTCACCACCATGCATTCCATAACCAGTCCTTTCTTTTGGTTTTCCTTCTGAATTTGCCTTTAATATTGAAATTTGCATAGCATAAAATTGTCATAGGTCATTTCTCTTTGAATCATCTATTGTTTATATAAATCTGAAAAAATACATTCTTATTGTACATCTCCCACTATTTTTGGTGTGCTTATTTAATTCATTGTTTATTCACATACAAGTTGTTTGTTTGCAGTAAAGAAGTTATAGCTTTCAGTATTCTGACATGCCTTTGGATTTCTGTGTCACATTTTCCATCATCTGTTATTACACTACTCATCTATCTATCTATCTATCTATCATATATATATATATATATATATATATATATATATATATATAAATTCTGTCACTTCCCTTAGTCCATCTGTCTGATACACCCTCTAAAATAGCCATACATTGATCAATCGAAATCAAATTTTGGGGTCAAGTACAAACAGGTAAGGGGTTACAAAGTACAGAATTAAATTTTGTTAATATAACTCTATGTAAGCCTTCTGCCTAGCTGAAATAAATCGTTTTTGATTTTGACTACTTTTTAGGTGTTTTTGTAACTTTGGAAACACTGACTTTTTTTTTAACAAGATTCCAGTTTCCTGTTTGTCCTGCATTTGTAAGAATTATAAACAAATCACAAAGCCAAATGTTTCAAAAAGTTGGAATTTGGCTGCAGAAAGAAATATTTATGCATGGCCAGTTAGTTGTCTGTTGCATGCTCAAGAGTAAGAAATCTTAAGAATTGTAAGGAAAAAAGAAATTTTCTTAAAAAATATTGTTTACCATGAAGTCTTATAAAATTTTGTAAAATTGAATGAAATGTAGAGTTTTTAAATCTTGACAAAAATTTTAGTGATAACTTCAATAATACTAAATACAGTGAGGATTTGCAAAAAAATTCTAGTATTGCTAAACTTCAAGAGTAACTTCATTTCTGCCAGCTGTGGCAATAAAGTGGTATTTAAAAATATTTTTTTTTATGTCTAAAGTTTATAAATGTGAACTGTAAAGTAAATGCCAGAATTAATAACTACTTTAGACATAAAAAAATATTTTTAAATACCATTTTATTGTTACATTAAAGTTACTCTTGAAGTTTAACAATACTAGAATTCTGGCATTTACTTTACACTTTACACTTCACATTTATAAACTTTGGAGGTTCTTGAGAGTTTAGTAAAAATTTGTGCAGGAGTCCCAAGAATATGACTCATCCAGATGTTAGTTTGTCAGATTTCAAATATATTTTCTTGATGTTACTGATGTGTTTAGATTATTATTGATTGACTGTTTAGATTAATATCTTCTGTTTTTTACAACACCACATCTACGTTGGACAGTTTTCTGCATTTCATCAAGTTAATGTATTGTACAGAAAATGATAAAAATGAGAATGCTAGTCTGAATAAGCAAACAAGTAATTGATGTGCTTTATGCAAACTAAGTGAATATTTTGATCTTAGAATGTTTATTATTTTTTTTTTTATGTGAAATACAATGTTACCTTCTAATCTTTCACCTTACAATCTTCAATTGGTTACAAAATGGTATGGTCAATATTCACTAAAGTAACAGATTGTTTAAAAAATCTGTTGCTTTAGTAACATAGGGATTAAGAGAAGTCTAGAAGTGCAAGTCTAAGCACAGAACTAAGTTTACTGTTGAAATGGTTAGATTTATTTTTGATCAGTATCATCTGATGCAAGGTAGTAAAGCCACTAAGACACAAGGGGTTGCAGGGTGTATAAGAATTAGGAACAGAAACATTAATAAGGAGCAGGAAGAGAAAAGATTAATAGTGAGGACAGTAGATAGTGATTGACATTGCATTTTTGCAGATTAAAGTTGGTTGGAAAGCATGGAGCTGGAAGGTAGTTCCACAAGTGAGAAGTGTAAGAAAAGAAACTCTTAGCATAGAATTTATGGCTACATCTAGCGAGCTCGAGTTTAAATTGATGGGATCTCAATGCCAGTCTAGTTCTGTGCTTAAATTCCAAAAGTCTAGGTACTATTGCAAAGAGCTCATCCGAACAATTACCATGAAAGTATTTGTAAAAATGGCACAAAGAGGCAACCTTACAGAAGTGGGGAAAGTGACTGAAGCCAAGCCATAAAATCAGGATGGATAATATTGCTGATTCATCTTTGGATCTTATTAAGGAGCTCAAGGTAAGTATCTGGGATACCTGACCATATGTGGGAGCAATATTCTAAGTGGAAGAATGGTAAGGTAATTGAGGACCCCCTGTATAAATCTTTAGAAACTATTTTAAAGCAATATCATGTTATAACTCTGGTTGTTCCTTAGTTAGCACGTCTGTTATGACCTGCTAATACCTCATAAATAATGAACTATTCCATTTTGATTGTGAGGAAATTCAGAAAAGATATATCTGAGACACTGGTATCTGAGGAAAAACAAGGAAAAAGTAAGTAAGAAAGAAGATAATTGAAACAATGCTCTCCTGTATTTAAGGTAAACACATCTGCCTCAGTGAAATTTGTCGATTTCAAATACTTTCATTTGTACCCTCTTACTACTTTAAATAATGACCTGCATTCATAATTATGATTGTTACTGCAATATTTGGTTTTGTTTTGTTTTGTTTTATGGCTTCACAAACTCAATGGGTTATTTAATACTAACAAGATTATTATTGCTGATAATAAAACCTATTTTCATAGTATTTTGAACCCAGTTTGGGTGTTAACTATTTTCCCATAGCTGAGACCCTAACAGGTGCTACCACCCCAGGCCAGGGTAGACCTGGGAACACTGGCTATTAAGAGGTGGTTCCATGCTCCTCAAAGCCTCCTGATCAGAGGCTATGCTGTTGGATGTAGTTTATCGTCTTACCCAGGACATGGATGTAGTTTATTGTCATACCCAGGATGGGCAATATTTGGTTAAACTCTTTAAGCTCAAATATTAAACAATATATTAGGGGTATTTACTTGGGTATTTTATAGAATGCACATTTATTAACTAAATAATTATCACCATTATCATCTCTACAAATGTTCACTGCCAGCTTAAGAAGACACAGAATTTTTTAAAATGTCAAAATTCCTCAGAAATGTTGGATTGGAACTAAAGTTTGAAGTTTTTCTCAGTAGATGGTGTTTGAACAATAGATTTCATTTCACACATGTTTGAAAATTGTGACACATGCATGTGTACACACACACACACACACACACACACACACACACACACACACACATATATATATATACACGTATTCTGAAAGGTGACATTTCAACATGGTTCATGCTTGGATTTTAAGTTTTTATGCTAAAACTAAAAATGGAGATAAAACAAGATGAATTTTCATCATTTGAAGCTTATTTTATTTCTGTAAAGGAAACAAATTTCTGTACAAACAGCAAAAGAGATATGTGCCATTTATGAAGATTGTGTCATAACTGAGAGTAATTGGATCTGGAAGACTGTGAATGTTCTGGCAAGCCTGCTGTCAGTGATGATGGCCAAATTAAAATGTTAATTAAAAACAATGCTAGTATTTGCGACACTTGACATTGCAAATATACTCCATATATAACATATAAGTATTATAAGGTATTTGAGAATACTTGGATACATGAACTTGACTTAACATTACAAATTTTTATTCCGACCCAATATATACATGACATTTGATGGGGGCACCCAATTTTTAAATACTAGGTAGAATTGCACCATTTTTCAATACATCACCTGCTTATGCATGACGTCATATCAATGAAATATCTTGTCAACGGCTCCAGGACAAACAGATAGCTTTTCAAGTGGTTAAGAAACCCAATTATTTTTAATTAATTTTGAATCTGTGTTGCTAAATAATTTTATTCTAATTTCAGGCAGTCACTGTCCGTTTGATGTTGGCTATAACATCAGCAGCAATGGGGTCTTTTACATTTGGCTATAGCATTGCTGTCATTAATTCTCCTGAGACTGTAAGTATTTTTAACATATTCAGTGAATTCTTGAACTAATCTCATCTCTGTTTCAGATGATCATACTCAGGATTTAACAATATAGCAGCAGGAGAAAAAAAAAATCCTGAATATAAGGGATGCTGAAAAGTACTTAGCCCAATCTACTCTTCAGTTACCTTTTTTTTAATAGTTCCTGGTTAGAGCATGAATATATATATATATATATATATATATATATATATATATATATATATAAAAAGGCTCAAACACTAATATTCCATGGTTATAATTTATTACATTGGAATTGTAATCACAATCCAATTCATCAGACCTAAATGTAATAAATTATAATCATGGAATATTAGTGTTTGAGCCTTTTATATTATATTTTTACTCTGTCCTGGACAGTGAGTTCTACCTGGATTCTATCCTCTTGGGAATTATATATATGAATCTCCATGTAAAATGTGTTAATATGCATCAAAACATGATTGCATTCATGTAGCGTTTTCTATATGTTTTTGATGTAATATGCTAAAATAAAGTATATATATATATTATATAAGGCAAAAGGAGAACTTTACTTATATTGTCTTTTTACAGATATATTTTCTTTATTTCTGTATATCTGTATTTTTACACAGATATACACACAGTCACTTGTCACTCAATTAAGTACACATAAGTGCTCTTTTATGCAAATTTCTAATCAGCTAATGATGTAGCATCAATTTAATGAATATTTGCTTTTAAACATGGTCATAATGACCTGCTGAATTTCATTTCAAGCATTATTATGGGAAAGAAAGGTTATTTAAGTAACTTTGAATGTGGCATGGTTGTTGGTGGCAGATCTGCATATTTCAAAAACTGCTGATCTGCTAGAATTTTCATGTATAACAATCTCTGGTTTACAGAGAATGCTGAGAAAACAAAAAAAAGTTTCAGTGGGTGGCAGTTTTGTGGATGGAAATCTCTTGTTGAATGAAAAGATCAGAGGAGAATAGGTAGACTGCTTCAAGCTGATAAAAAGGCAACATTATCTCAGATAACCACTCTTTACAATAGAGCAACTGTTGACTGCTAAAAAAAAAAGAATTCAACAACATAACATTTTTGTCTGAATTTCTGGGATGGGGTGTTGTCATTATTTACACTATTTATTTTTGGACTATTGTCCTCATCTTTGCTGATTCAGAAGATCTGTGGTCCATGCAGCATCAATGCAATATTCAGAAGCAGTTCCACTCTGCAGAGGAATCTCTTCTGAGTAATGCCTAACATTGGGGGAGAATATGACTAAGAATTAGATGAACTTGATTCTTTGCAGTTGCGATAGAGAATATAAAGGAGAAACGAGCTGCCCCTAAAAAGTAAGGCTGGAGGAACATAGAAAAGTGGTAGTGAGAGGTGAGATGATGAAATTGGGCATAGCTGATCATATATGGAGGGAAAGAGCTGGTCATCAACTATTGTGGAATGAAGTGAAAATACTGGACAAGTAAGAACATTAGAGAGTTATTTAAAGGCATTTTTATGTTTAACATTCTTTTTATAGATACAAGTATTTAAGTAAATGCTCTGTTTATAATAAACAGTATTAAATAACATTTACTGGCCTGAATGTCCGAGAAATTTTCATAGAAAATATTTGTCCTTTGACAGGATTCGAACCTGTATCCTATACAGAACTGTTATATAGCCTGATGTGCCTTACCGCTCGGCCACAAAGGACCGTTCAGTTGGCAAGGTTGAATTTACTGCTTATAAACTTCAATTTTCCATGAATCTCTTACGTATATTCATAACAGCTCATGGCATATCAAATGTAAACAAATGACGTCACACATTATGAAATGGACAAAGTCTGACAATTATTTAAAGACATTTTTATGTTTATACATTCTTTTTATAGATACAAATATTTAAGTAAATGCTCTGTTTATAATAATACTGTTTATTATAAACAGAGCATTTACTTAAATATTTGTATCTATAAAAATAATGTTAAACATAAAAATGTCTTTAAATAATTGTCCGACTTTGTCCTTTTCATAATCAGAGAGTTAGACATCTAAAAGAATTAGCACATATGTTAGGATATTAGGACCCACTTAGTATACCAATGGATTTATTTCCTTTACTCTCTCTCTCTTTTTATATATATATATATATATATATATACACACACATACAGTTATTCTTCATTTCTTTTATTCTCATGTATTTATATAAATCATAAAACCATTCTATATTTATATTTAATTTCACAAATGTTGGCATATTTAGAAGCAGATAAGGCCGCATTTTTCTCCAAATATTAGAATTTCATAAATTTCCATCATGTATGTTCATTGTCTTGTAAGCATATTTCTAATTTATTATATCAGAATGTCTAAAAATCTAAGTATTGATTTTTAAGCCTCAATTTCTATCTGTAGTGTTGAATCAATTTCTTGCGGCCCTCATGTGCCAACAATCAGTCTTGATCTCTAAATTCTTGCATATCTGCATTTTTGATGTTAGTTTTTGTTGGGTTTCTCTTATAAAGTTTTTTTTTTTTTTAATATATTCAATTCAGCCTTTTTTGATTGATTTTTGTCTTTTTTAAGTGAATGCACTTTGTTGTAAATTGTATTGGAAAGAAACATCTCTAGTTTTCAGTCCTTATTTTTTATAAGCTGTCTCATGTCATTTTTGATATTACAAAATGATAGTACCTCTCTCTCTCTCTCTCTCATATATATATTTATATATATATATGACTTGTGTATGATTTGTAATAAATGCACAAAATATTATCTAGACCAAAGAAGCAATATGGCTGAAGTTCTAGTAACATTTTATGTACCAGTCAATAATTTTTTTTCTTACTGTTCCCTACTGAAATAACATGGGTCTTATATACCAGCAAATTTTGTAAATTTTTCTCCCCCAAGAGTATAAGCATAAACATACTTTTTGTTTGTGTTTTTCTAGATTGTCGAAAACTTTATTAATGAGACCGTGATCCAGCGAACAGGAGTTCCTATCTTAGCCAGCCACTTGAGGAGTTATTGGTCACTGATTGTGGCCATCTTTGCAATTGGAGGTATGATTGGTGGTCTCAGTGCTGGGGCATGGGCTGACTTTTTTGGTCGGTGAGTGAGCATTTTATTTTTTTTTGTTTTTGTTGCCTGGTTGAATATAGAGGAGATTTATATTCATAAATCTTTATTCATATCATAGAAATAATTATTATTACATAAGAATTTTAGTCTATTATCATCAGTATATAAAATGCTTGACTTTAGCCATGTCAGGCATATACAGCAGTCACTCTTGTTTGTAAAGAATATGTTTTAACACCTTCAGTAAATCTCAGAAACCAAGATTGTACCAACCATTTTATATATATATATATATATATATATATATATATATATATCAGTTGTATGGATATGAGTTTGTGACCCTGGGTTCACACTTTTGCAATCATCAGACAAACTGGTTTATTTTTTACAAATTGGATCTATTTATGCTTGTTTGACTATGTTGTGGTGGGAGGGGGAGTTGTTTGATTGTTAATCTTCCTTTGGTTGAAATTGCCAAAGACTTAAGTTGTTAAATCTGAAAGAAAAAGAAAAAAAAAATCATTAGATGCTTAAACTTAATTGTTGTTTATTGAATTTTTTTAAATTCCTTAAATATTTTTCAGGAAGAAAGGCATGCTCCTTAATAATGCAATAGGCATTGCTGGAAGTATGTTGATTGGATTCAGTAAAATGGGTTCGTCTTTTGAGATGATCATTGTTGGCAGAGTAATTCTTGGCTTCAATTGTGGTAAGTAAAATAATTTCAGCAAATTATCCACTCTTTTTTTATGACTTTGTTTTTAATTATTTTTATGAGTATTTTGTCATTATGACTTTTTAATTTGTTTATGTATTTGTTATTAATTGTGCTTTATGAGTTTATTAATGACTTTGTTGTCATAGTGACAACATTTTTTGGCTTTTGGTTCCGGACATCTTCAGGTGATTGGAATTTCAAACTAAACTCTTTATTTTGTCCACTGGGGTAGATTCTGGCTGAAAACAATGGCCAAAATGTTGTGAATATGGTAACAAAAATGGGGACAAGTCTAAACAACATAAATAGTGTAAATGACTTTTTCTTGTTTGAAACTTTGACTAAGTAGCTCTATAGCTAAGGAACTGTTGGAAGACCTAAATGATAGAAGTATATATATATATATATATATATATATATATATATATATACAAAAACAAAATTATATATAAATAAAATATATCTATAAAAAGACAGTATAAATAAAAACAAAAGGAAATCTTTTCTTTACCAATAGATTTTGTCAAGGTCAATGTATCTTGATAAAATCACTCATAAAACATTGGTAAAGAAAAATTTTCATTTCATCTCTATTCACACACACATACACATACACACAAACTAATATATATAGGTTCACACTCCTCCATGTTCTATTGAACAGGAGTAGAGATTTATTCTTTTGTTTCCTGTTTAGGATTAGGTTTCCGGTTCATTCTAATGTCTACTTCAACTCTATACCTCTAATGTCTGCATCTGAACAAAAGAAGAAATTTGTAAATAAAATTTCTTTTTTCCTTAAATAAGAGTAGATAGATTTTCCTATCATCCAGTTCACACTCCTCCATGTTCTATTGAACAGGAATAGAGATTTATCCCTTGTTCCCTGTTTAGGAACAGATTTCCAGTTCCTTCTAAAATCTTTTCACTCTCTTTCACATCCAGTAGCCCCTTGTATCTTAGTGGCATTGTTGCTTGCCTTGTTTGGAGTAAAGTGAAAAATAATATGTATGTATTTTTTTTTTTACATTTTTTTTTTTTTTCGCATTTATTTTTTCATATTTTTTCTTCATATTTTTTTTGTTGATTGGATGATTAACAGGAATAGAAATAAGATAAGAGTGAGTAGAATGTGTCTGCATGTATATATCTCAGTAAGGAGAAACGAATCATTACTTACCACTTCAAGATGAGAGTATTGCTATATTCCGTGCCAGATCAAAACTGTTACTGTGTCTGCTTCCATATTTTATGGATGTGTGTAGATTGCATGTGAACCAGAACTTATCCATAATAGGACTATAATTTGTTAAGAGAAGTCACACTGTGTGATTAAAAATGAAGAAAATTGTAACTGACAGATGGCACACAAGTCAATACCTAATCAGTATAGACTGGGTTACCGTAGAGATGGGGTATGATTTTGAAAGACCTGAAACCCCTAATAAACCTCGGCTAAAAACATCATCGATGATGTGTGCCAAAGCATCAAACAGATGTATTTTATGAAATTATATAGTTAAATATATGCATTTTAGATAATATTTTATGAAATGTCTTATTTTTAGCTAAATTATTTTTGCCTATTTTATTTGTTTTAAATGACATTTTAGATTAATTTTATTTTTTTTTATATTGAGCTAGATTTTAGTAGCATTTTCCTTTTCTTACAACTGTATACTTCTTGAATTTAACTCATTTGTGTGCGAACATTGTTGAAGGAGTCAAAAGTATATATAGTAATAGTGGTGTTATAAGAATAACTGTCCTGTTGATTGAATATTAAAAAAAATGGGTCTGGAAATAAATCTGTAACTAATGTGAATTGGAATCAAATAAGGATTAAAATCCAACAGAATGACAGAGTAAGGAACAAATAGGAAATATTTATAAATTTAATGCTTCACTTTTTATTGAAGCTTCATTAGTAATTTTTGGAAATGCATTATGAAAGAGAAAGTTCTATGTTATTTGCTTTTCATTGGTCAGGTAAATGTCACTTGTCTTTGTCTTGTCTTGTCTTAGTGTGTCAGCCTCTGGATTTTTGTGGGCATTTTTTGTGTCTGTCTAGTAGTGTCCATGCATTTAATTCCTGAAGATGGTTGTGAGATGATGACCTACCTATACGTTTGTGTATCATATTTTGCATTGGTCTCACAGGAGTTGGGTTGTGTCTGTATATTTGTGCCAATAATGTGTATGCGTCTTTTGCATATTTTCAAATTTATTTGATAACCTATTTTTCTTTATAATTTCAATTGATAAATCATTAATATAATTTTTTCTCTTTTTCTTTCTCTCTCTGTCTCTCTTTCCTATTTTAGTCATTCTTCATTTCTTCTAAAATTTAGTATGGCATAAGGCTAAGTAGAAGTGGGAAGACTATGTAGCCCCAAGCCTCCAAATAGAACCTGTTTGATCTTTTATTTAATTTTTAAACAAATGGCTGCATGGTATAGTTTATTGTTATTTAATGTTAGCAGGACACACTATCACATGGATAAAAACTGGCAGCAGTGGGATTCAAACTCATGCCTCCAAAGAGATTAGTGCCTTAAACGTGGTTCTACAGAAGGTTGCTGAGAATATCATGGACAAAAGATGTAAGCTTTGAAGCTTTGGAAACAAAAAGGATACTTATACATAACATCAGGAAGAGACTCATATGATATATTGAAGGCAAGAGGAACAGAAGAAAACAATGCATATCCTATCAAGTGAAATTGAGTAAATGAATCACAGAACATAGTTTAGGAGTGATAACAAAAAAAAAAACAATTTATTAAGAGCTACTGTTATAACAACATCAATAATGTCAGTTATTATGATGATTGTAAGCATTTCTGGTTCCACTAGGGAATGCTGGGATCAAGCTGGAGCAAATGGGGAGTTTGGATAATAAAGTTAAGTTTACCATGTCTTATATCATTTTTTTGTTGCTTCGACTTTTCAGTGTAGAGAACCATGACTGCCAGCATCTGGAAGGAACACAGCAAAAAGATTAGAGGAAAACATTTTCATACAAAGATGACTACAATTTTAAAAAGAATTCCAAAGATGCAAGGAAATTCAAAAATTTAAATTTATTAGCAAAATTAAAATAAGATATTAAATATTTTTAAAATAAAAAGATTTCTGTTGCATGACTGATTTTTTTCTCCATTTATTCTGATCCACCAAAAAAACAAAATTAACATCTGTGTTCTTGGAATTTTATTACAGTGTGTCTTTTGCCTATTTTCTTCATGAAGTTGCAGTTAATTTATTCATAAAAAAATGATATTTTATACATAGATTTTTTTTTGCCATTTTTTACCTTTGTGCCCACAAAAAAACTTGTGTCAAAATGACAGTGATTCCTATGACACAGCTATTACTATATATATATATATATATATATCTTTTGACTCCCATGGCAATGTTTGTTCTTTGTTGTAAATTCCTAAGAATATAGAAAATGTATAAATGAACTTTCATAATTTAGGATTTTATTAAAATTCTAATCAGTTTCAGTTATCTCCCTTTAATAACTCAACTCTCCAAGTTTTTGTTCACCACTGCCTTGGCCAGGTATTGAACTCACAACTCTTTGGGTCAAGTCACTAGATTACTTCAACCAATGCTTAGTGATGATTAGAATTTTAATAAAATCCAAAAAAAATTGATTTATAAATTTTCTTTATTCCTGAGAATTGACAACAAAGTTATTAAACATTATTTACACTATTTACATTGTTTGGACTGTTGTCCTCATCTTTATTATCATATTCATGATGTTTTGGCTATTGTATGCTCTGACCTTCTTCAGGTCACTGGAATTTGGAATAAAACCCTTTATTTCGTCCATTGGGATAGACTGTTCTAGTTCCACGTGCCTTGCCTCTTCCAGATATCGGGTTCAGTTATTTCCCTTTAGTAACTCAACTCTACCATCCTGAGCATTTGAGTTATCTTTAAATAAATTGTATTCTGCTGCTCTGATCATCTTCTGCCAGAAGGTGCATTTTGTTTAGTAAAGATTTTTTGAATGTTCAAGCCGGTAGACATAATAAAATACTGTTTAAATTTAAGTGAGTATCTACTCAAATATAGCTATCCACTAAAAGTAACATTGAAAGTAATAAAAATTACAATACAGGGTGTCCATAAAGTACGTGTGCACTTTAAAAAAATTATAACTTTATTTGTATTTGCAATAGAAATAATCTGTAAAAAATGTTATAAAGTTTAATGTACCGAGTTTTAAGTATAGCTAAAATAACTAATGTGATTTCAGGCATTACTGTAAATCAGTTGGCAAATGTTTTTCATGAACTGCAAAATCATATTACCCTTTGTATTGCTAATGATGGAGGACATGTGGAAACTTAAATAAAATTTCAATAAAACTTTAAAAAATATAGATTTACTTCTTTCTAATCCTTTTTACATATTATTTCTATCACAAATACAAAATAAAGTTATAAATTTTTTAAAGTGCACACGAACTTTATGGACACCCTTTATTATAAAAATATGTGAACCTTCTATAACAAAATAATTATTATTTTATGAAAAAATAAATATGAAAAAGGAATTTTTTTATTTATAAATTTATAAAAATGTCTGAACAAGAAAAGCAAAAATGGACTGACTATTGTAATAAGATGAAAAGCATAGTGGCAAGTAAAAGAGACAGCTCAAGATGCAAGTTATACATTGGGGATGTCAAAATTAAACATGTTTGGAAATTCAATGTCTGGTCATTCTGCAAGTGCTGCTGGTAACCATGTAACCCATGTTTGGGTCATTGTTGACTAAACCAATTCCTTCAGGCTTTTCTGGTAAGGAGGGTGACTAGACACCCAGCAGGATTAAAAACAAGACCCATCAAAGGATAGTTGAACATGCTTGTAAGGTCAATGGGTTCTATAGCTATGTATGCAGCCAGTGTGATGATGACATCATAACACTAGGCAGAGAGATTCTTAGACTTAAATCAATGAACCTGATAGAATCAACAGCCATTTGTATGTGACCAAAGTGAACCTACAAATTGGAGGACATTGGCTGTGGTTTGACCTGGAGAAGGATGGGTTCTGCTAGGTTTACTTGCTCAAGATATGGCAATGGTAATATTAGCCCTTTCCTTATAAGGAAACATTTAGCATTCATAGATCAAGCATTTAGTGCTGTTATATGTTGAAATTTATAAAACCCTTTAATTAAAACAATTTTTTAGGAAAACCGGTTTCTCAAGTCCAGTAGCTGTTAATGCTCTTTCCAGTACTTGTATTGACTTCTTTCCTAACCTTTTGTTTGAAGTAGTGTGGAATGTCAACATCTTGATTATGTCAGCAGAAAGAATTGAAATCTTTTGGATGCACAATGAATAAAGAAGGTTAAGAAAATCTAACACTCACAGGACAATTTGAAAAGCAAAGAAAAATAACTAGTAAAATATTTGAAAAGTTTTATTTAAATGGATAGAGGAAAAAGTACCACAATGTAAAAGAGGTTGTAAAAGGAGCATAAAAAATGAAGCTGTGAAGAGCCATGATCGACCTTGTCTTTCAGAATATGGCCCCTAATTTTACATTGCTGCTTAATTACAGTTTTGATTTACATATAAATTTTTCTTTTCTTCTAGGTTTAACCACCTGCCTAACACCTATGTATTTGTCAGAAATTGCACCTGCAAACATCCGAGGTGCATTGGGTGTCGTACATCAACTGGCAATCACAATTGGAATCTTAATGTCACAGATCTTTGGCTTTCAAGAAATTCTTGGCACAAAAAGCTTATGGCCAGTTCTGCTGGGTGAGTAAACTGAAATGATAAAATAAATCTCTGCAGTAATAGTACTCAGAGTGCCTGAGAACCACCTTCCTTTGATCACCCTCATATAGTAACACCCTTTCCTTCTTTGATCACCCTCATATAGTAACACCCTTTCCTTCTTTGATCACCCTCATATAGTAACACCCTTTCCTTCTTTGATCACCCTCATATAGTAACACCCTTTCCTTCTTTGATCACCCTCATATAGTAACGCCCTTTCTTTCTTTGATCACCCTCATACAGTAACGCCTTTTCCTTCTTTGATCACCCTCATATATTAACGCCCTTTCCTTCTTTGATCAACCTCATACAGTAATGCCTTTTCCTTCTTTGATCACCCTCATATAGTAACACTCCTTCCCATTTTGATTCGCCCCTGCTCCCTAGTAACAATCATTCATTTTTTTATTCTCATCTAACCCTGATAACTCCCCTTTTGATTTTCTCCTCTTATCCCTGGAAACACTTCTCCCCTTTGGATTTCCTCCCCCCACCAATTTCTGGTAACTCTTCCCCCTTGATTTTCTCCTCTTATCCCTGGTAACACTTCTCCCCTTTTGATTTTTCTCCACCACCCCACCCATCCCTTGTAACTCTCCCCCTTGATTTTCTCCACTTATCCCTGGTAATACTTTTCCCCTTTTGATTCTCTCCATTCCCTGGTAAGATTCCTCCGTTTTTGATCCCATCCTGATAACATTTTTCTCTCTTTAGTCTCCAGTTTCTTCATTTTGAATCATCTTTCATTTTTTTTTACCATTGTATTTTATTTTGGTAATTATTGAAACCAAACTGCTTTATTAATTACAATCAAATAAAAAAAAAAGAAACTCCTTATTTCAATGATTCATAAAACTTCCATTTGATTTCATACCAAATTACACACTTTGCTGAAATTTCTTTTCTAAGAGCCAAGACTGTTTAAGAATTCCTATTTTTCAAAACTTTTGTCTTTAACTAATCAAGCTATTTTTGGTTATTGTTTTACTTATAAAAGGAAAAAGCTTAAAAAAATAAATCATTTACATTACAGTGTTATATTCATAATTACTTTTTATTTTATTTCTGTGTTGTTAAAATTATTAAGAATTCATTTGAAATTCAGTTTTTTGGGGGGCAAGAAGAGGATGAAAAAGAAACTGTACTGAGTTCTTTAATCTACTGGAATATTCTTATCTTTTGGACATGATTGGTTCTCTTAGCAGTTGTATTTCTGCAATGATTACTAGAAGGAAGATTGAATAACTATCGTCCATATTGGTGAACTATTACATCACTTTTTTTTTAATCATTTCACCCCATAATGGTGTTAAAACCACTAAGATGTGAGGGGTTACTGAAACTGAAAACAATGTTATTGAGGGGAAAGTCAATAAAATAACAGAACCTAACTGCCAATCTAGTACTACACTTAAATTTGTGAAGGTGAAGTATCACAGAGAAAAGTTCATCAGAACAATTGCCATGAAAATATTTATAGAAAAGGCACAGGGAAGCTACATTACAGTGGTGGGAAAGTGATTGAAGCTGAGATGCCAGATCAGGACTGATAATGTTACAGATTCTTTGGATTTTATCAAGAATCTCTAAATATATAGCAGGAGCACCAGACTATATGTGACACTTGTTGGCCTCAAACCAAGTGTTTACAACTCCTGTGTTTGAAGTGTCTTGATCTATGCCAGTGAATTCTGGACTATGCAGGCTGAGAACGAGTTATGTCTGGTCTGAAAGAATCCTTCTATGAACAGGTGGACATGTGGTGTCAATCCTTCTGATAGACTGGTGTCATTTGGATTTCTTGCTGTATACCAAAAAACTACAATGCTTTGGGCACGTACAATAAAACAATTCAGGGTTGAAGCAGTATGCTTAGCTAAAAATTGATGGAAATTATGGCAATGCACAGCTAAAAAAAAAAACTTCTAAATGGAAGATCTCTACAAAGAACTCAAAAATTGAAGTTGAAAGAAGACATAGTTCGAGATAATCTGGAGGAGTGAATTGAAATTGAGACTTCCAAAAGTTATTTTATAAATAATTAAACAACATAAAACAAACTCTTCTCAATAATAATTTCCCCAACCATGTTGTTGAGGAGTAAAAAAATTTAGGCTTAACAAAATTGAGAAAGAATAACTCAAATAAACATCCTGATTATAAAAAAAATAAAGATATGATTAGCTTATCCTACCATACATAACCAGATGCATCCTAACTATAAACAAGATGAAAAAGCTATTAGTATATAATTTACTCATATATTACTGGATTTACTGAATACATCATTGGTGTATATATATATATATATATATATATATATATATATATATATATATATATATATATATAATATGTTATTATAAAACGCAGATTGTGTGTGTCTGTAACGTTTATATATTGGATCGGATTTCCTACATTTTTCAACCGATTTCAACAAAACTTCACAGGACTACATAAAATTACCTTGTGGTGGGTCTAACAGTGCCAAAAATGGGAAAAATACAATTGTTTTTGCACAAAATCAATTTGAAAACACGATTAAGAGACATCATGAGAATGAAAGGGGGACAACTCACATCAGGTTAAAAAAACCCAGGTTGTGTTTGTGTGTGTGTATTCCTTTATATATGGGATCAGATTTCCTACATTTTTCAGCCGATAAAACAAAAATTCACTTTTTTTTTTTTGTTTTTGGCAGGTAGTGTTTCTTATTCTCTTGCACACTTTTTTCTTTATTTTTAATATTCAAAATGCTTTAAAAATTCCATTTACAAGACATTTGTTTATAATAAAATTCTATTCAATCGGTAGAGACTCATAACGATTGAAAACAATGTTTTTGTTTGAGTTTGGGTTTGACCAATTCATGAAAAAAACAAAAAAAAAACTAATTAAGACATGCGTGTCTGTCAACCTTAAACAATAATCTTTGTCAATTTTATTTTTCAGTCTTTATGATGGTGGATACTTGATCTATCTCTTACTGTTATATCCCCAGGCAATGCCAGGCTCTACTGCTAGTGTGTATATATATATATATATATATATATATATATATAAACTGATTTAAAATATGGCTCCATTGCTACACAGGAATTACCATGTTTCAAAAACAGAAACTAAAAACTTCAAAATCAATTATATAATTAAATTAAAAGCATTAGTTCTGTTTCATTTTCAAGCGAATTTTGGAAACATAGTAATTCCTGTGTACCGATGGAATCATATTCTTAAATCAGTTAATTTATAATATTTATACTCTGTAAATTTACATCGAGTACTGTTTTATAAAAGTATCAATAAGAACACCGGATTATATATCTTACTGTTCTTTCTTTTTTACTATAAAATATATACAATCCCAACAAATACCTTAGATTTATCATTTTTACTATAAAAAGTTAAAAACAGCTAATTAATATCAATAACTCATAACCTCAAAAATCTCCCCTATGCAAAAACAAAAATAAATGCAGTTTATATCAATAATCAAATAGCAGCATTCAATTCTTACATTGGCCACATATGTACCACATTCTCTCAATAGGCTAACTTGTCACTTGTCAAAGTTTAATGCAATTCATGCACATATTAATCATCACATGACAAACTATCAAACTACTACTATTATCATAGGAAACATATTACTAGGTAATACTAAAATACTATATATCACTTACTGCAAGGAGAAACTCAAAATTCTAGAAATTATTATTATACAAAAGAAACAATCCTCATTAAATAAAATCTTTCCTGACAAAAGGCAGTATCTTCAACTGTGTATAAAATTTTATGAAAAATATAATATCTATAAATATTTGACACATTCTTTTCCAGTGTGGTCTATGGCTATGTTAATATTTTACACACAATATCATTTTGGATTATTGTGAATGCCAGTGTTCCAAAAAAGTATTCTGATATAGCTAATAAAATCTTGCCTACCACACTGACAACACCAAGTTCTTGATAATGACCAGGAATACTTGAGCAAAAACAAAATGGATCATGTAAAAATACAATAAAAATTAAATGTGTGTGTGTGAGTGCAAAAATTCAGATATAAATATATTTGTAAAGACAATATAAATATTTGTAAAGACAATATAAGATAAAAAGAAAACATTTTATGCCAATGCATTTCCTTCCTTGAGGAACTTTATCAGCGCAAGTCTAGATGTTTTATTTACTAACTTGTGTTAATAAGCACAAGTAACATGGAGAAAAATAATGTTAAGTTTTCAAATTTGGAATTAGAGAGCTCTAAAATATTCTAAAAACTTTGTAAAGGAAAGGTAAAGTATAGAGGACACTAAATGATGTAGTTTTTTGGCCTATTAAAAAAAAGGGACTTGATATTATTGATTTTTTTTCTGTAATATTTATTCATTTATGTGCATATTTATTTGATTTTGTTTATTTCTTTAATTATTTCAATTTAGTTTATTTAATTAAAATTTCTACACTTGCTTTGATAATGCTCCTCAAGGAATGATATACATTGGCATAAGAGGTTTGCCTCTTAGGCTTGTCTATCATTCAATTCACACTCCTCCTCAGTCTATTGAACAGGAGTAGAGGTTTATCCCTTGTTCCCAGTTTAGGATTGGGCTTTTGGTTCCTTCTAAAGTCTACTTCAACTCTATACTTCTAATGTTCCTGTTATGACTCTGAATTTTTCACTACTTGACTTCTTACCCTTACTTATGCTAATACAACTCCACACAGTAACGTTCTACCTTGATTGGCTCTTGGGCCTTGTATTAGATGAAAATTAGTAAAAAGATATATAAAATAAATGTGAATGTCAGTATGTCTACTGTGTCCAAGAGTCCATAGCCCAACATATCATGCCATTTTGGAATCAGGTCAAATTCATCAGCAAATTTAAAATATTCCGATCCAGACCCACAATCTTGAAATTTTGGATTCCTAAGTTTTCATTACTGCAATTATTTTCAGATTCCGACATCTTGGCTTCTACTGATAAAACCATTAAAGGGACACAACTCTTTAACTTTCAGTAGCTTATGCTCAAATGAAAAAAAATTACTGTTCTCAAATTACAGTGTTTCAAAATAAAATTGTCCATGTTTTCAACTTTACTCCTAGAGGCTGTAGCCAAGATTTCATATCATTTTGGAATCAGGATGACTCTGTCAGCAAATTAAAAACATTCTGGGCTGGATCTGGACTGACAATCCTGAAATTTTGAATTCCCAAGTTTTCATCAGTGTAATTGTTTTGGCAATTTTTTTACGTGATTTTTTTTGCAACAATTTTTTTTTGTATGATTACAATTTTTATACCTTGGAAATAAATTTGGGAATAATCGAAATTGCGAAATCTAGCAAAAGTTACCAATGAAATAAAAAAATATTTTGTACAGAAAGTAAGGACCTACGTACATCAAATTGTCTTTAAATTAAGTGGCGGCAGAAGAATTATCATTGAACTTTTAAAATGTAAGCTTAAATATTAATGCAATACTTAAATGCAATGATCAATTTTGAATTCTGTAGTTTATCATTGCCTATAGCATCTACTTCTCCCTGCCTATCATGATGAAGGCTCAATCAAGAGCCCTCCACTGCTGATAGCTTAAATGTTGCCCAAATGCTGACATAAATTGAAAATTGAATCAACTGCTAGATCTGCTACTAGAAAATTTGGTTCACTATATTGTGCTGGACAATTTTTCTTACTAGAATCTTTCTTACAAATTTATAAGTCTGTCATTTGTCCTTACATTGAATTTGCTCTCATTCTCATATCTGGTCTGATGTTTCTGCTATATTTCTAGAGATTGTTGATAAAATATAGAGAAGAAACTGCAATGTTATTGATTCTGATTTGGCATCTCAGCTTCAATTGCTTTCTCATTGCTGTAACATAGCTTCCCTGTACCTTTTCTATAAATAGATTCATGGTAATTGTTCTGATGAACTTTCCTCTTTGGTACCAAAACTTTATGAATTTAAGCATAGTACTAGATTCGGAGTAAGGTTTCCTCATTTTAAAGTTGAAATGGCAAGATGTAACCATAAGTTACATATAACTAATAGTTTCATCTATCACACTTCTCACTTGTGGAACTCTCTTCTGGCTTCTTGCTTTCCAGTTTACTTTCATCTTCAAAAATTTCAATACAATGTCAATTGTAATCTTCTGTCTTACTTTCTATATACTTATATTTTTGTTGCATATGTATCATTTAATCATAATTTTCAACAGTTTGGTCAGTACTTCAGGGATTAAAATAAGAGGTGCAATTTATGTAGATATGTGGGAAAGATGCTAATTCTAGAGTTAAAGAGGTTAAGAGTGTAATGATCGAGAAAATATCCTCCTGGGATGCTGATCCACAAAGCTAGATTTCTTGGGATGAAGCTATCTGAGAGGAATTTAATCTTTACGAAAGGACTATGAAGTGAATAAAGGTGGTTCACTTCAATGTACCCAGTGTGATGGATCTTTGCTGAGGTTGTTACATAGCAGGGAACAAAGGAATGTAGCTTATCTGAACATTTTTCATGGAAGTAATGATAGAGGAAAGAGAGACTTGTAATATTTTGTCTGTGGAAAAAAGGGGTTGTAAGCGTGGAAAACATAGATATGCATCCATTTCCCTTTGCCATATGGCATTAGGTGGAGAACCAAAGCCAATGGCTAGGATGTATACTGGTGTCATGCTTTATAATTTAATAATTCTATCAAAATTAATTTGATGTAGTAATTTGTAATGGTAATTCTTAGAACGATATACAGGGTGGCCAGTAAAAATTCCAAAAGGCGTGAGACAACCATTGATAACTGCTGACAACTTATATGACTGAAAAATTCAGGGAGAATTTCTGCAAATTTCATCAATCTTCATGATGGATGATAACTTGACACTCAAAATGAACGAGTTGTTTAGCTATACAAGAAGGGCAGAATGAAAGACGAAAGTTGTCTGCAAATAACTTAAATGATGAGTCACAAGATCGAACAGCAATCATAAAAGAACCAATCAGAGTTAAGGAATTATGTGAGAGATTAATGATTATTCAAGGTCATGAATATTCAAGGTTAATTATTCCTGAAAGATAAAACAGTGATAATAAATTTGCAGCTTTTTTATTAGGGCCCTGTAGATGGCATTATATAAGGACTCAGACGGTCAAGGTATTAGTGAATATGTTAAAAAAATATTTCCTTTTTTTTCTTTGTAGACAAGCAGGACATTAGTTACAGGGAAAAATATATTTTAAAACTAAACATCTTCAAAATGGGAAAAAAAAATAAATACATTCAAACTAATATCTTCATTTTTGTTGTTGTTATCATGTTTCTGTTGTAATGCCCTCCAGCTTCCTTCAGGGGAATTTTAAACAAAACCTTTTATTTAATCTACAAGGATAGATTGTTCTCATTCCACTATGGATGTGCAGGTGATGTAATGGATAACAGCTCTGAATGAGAAATCGGAGAGCAGAGTTTTAATTCCATTTGGGTTAATCACATTCAGTTATGCACATAAGGGAAAGAAATGAATCTATTTTCTCCTCCAGGTATGGGTTAAATAGTAGGACTTGTATCTGGAAAAATCATTGTTATTCTTAAAAAAAAAATTGTTAATGCAATATTCATTCACAAAAAATAAAGAATTATTCTTAAAATCCAAAATATGTTTTGGCTTTAAATAATCCACAAAGGGTTGATAAGCCATAAACAAGCAAATCAATCAACTATTCCACTGTCTAAGTCTATGGGTTTCATTTAGTATTGTTCATTTTTATTTCTGTTCAGTTATTGCTTGTTCTGTTTCCTCTAAATCTGAGTCTGCACGACCTGGCCCAGGGATTGAACTCACAATTACTATGCCATCAAATTCATGAACCAATGCTTTAATCCTCTTGGCCATTAAAGAAGGCCAGAGAGTGCTATGGCTGAAATGTTATGACAATAACAGCAAAGATGAAAAATGATTAGTTCAAATGTAAATAAAGATAACTCCTCATCTGAGAGATTCAGGTGAGGGGGGGGCGCAGGTATCTGTCTTTAGAAATGAACACTAGTTTTTTCTTACAAACAGAAAAGCAATGACTATTTTGTTTTACAGCTAAACTGAAATACTATTTATATATTTTATTTGATTTTTAGGGCTGCCACTTGCCCCCTGTATCATCCAGTTGTTGATGCTGCCTCTGTGTCCAGAGAGTCCACGTTTTCTTCTTATTACTAAACATCAAGAAACAGAAGCCAGAGCAGGTGAGAATGAATTTTTACTTTTTTTTTTTTTTTTTAATAATCTTTTGCAAAGTGCTGAGGGATGTAGAAGAGTCAGTGTGTATTGGGGGTGGGGGTGGGTCAAAGTGATGGTGGCAGAGAAGTAGTGTTATGAGAGAAAAAAAAAAAGTAAA